AAAAAAAAAAAAAAAAAAAAAAAAAAAAAAAAAGGAAGAAAGAAAGAAAGATAATAAAAAAGGAGATACAGCTCAGAGTATAACAAAGCTATTCTGGGTGCATCATGGAGATCAGAGCCCCAGGAGGGTTGTCTCCAGAATGTCCCTTGCTGCTGTGTTTCTGCTGTATCCTGGGAAAATCTCACTTCTCACTGGGCAGTTTACTTGCTGATCATAATGAAGATGCCTTTTATAAAAACAGTAATGATTACTTAGATCTATGAATTAATTGAACTTTGAGTTTATCTAAGATACAGGTGGTTAAGACAGTAAAGATGATTAGGGAAATGATTTAGGTTATTCTTCAGTTGCTCCAATAAAAGATACAAAGAAGACAATATAGGCTAACCCTTTGTTAGACATGAGACCTACAGAAGACAAAAACAGTAACAAGGAAGTTCTATGCACTATAGACCTGTGAGTTCTGCCTGAGGAGAAACAGGCTGATGATCAGAGAAAACAATTCCATCCCTACAGCCAGGGTTTGGCCTGAGCCCCTCTGTCATGGAGCTTACAGAATTAGTCACAGGCCCTGGTGTGCACCTCGAAAAAAACCAAGTTGTGAAAGGAGAGTAAATGACCCTGTTGTGTAAAGGAAAATAGATGGCGGACTGGCCACTGTTGAATGTTTCTCAAGAGCAGAAAACAGAAATCTGTTGCACTGAGACTGCAGACTACGGCCTGCCAGGACAAAAGGAGCTGGCTGAACTATACTCGGCTTGCTTAAAACTTTGTTAATCAGTTATAAAAGAATCGTTGCTTTGGGGTGAAGAACATATAACTTGTGTTCTTACTGTGATTTCTTTTTACATAAAGATTTTAATTTCTTTTTGAAAAATATGTGGCTTATGGCTATGAAGTAATTTTTTCATGCATAGAAATCTTTGTATTAGGAGGTATAAAAGGGATCAGAGAAATAGAGAGGAGGAGAGATGTAAAGGAAAACATCGGAAAAGAAGGATAAAGAGGATTAGGGGAATGTTCAAGGGGAAACAACTGGAGAGACAAATAGGGCAGAAGAACAGAACAGAGAAAGATAGAAAAAGAACAACCAACAGGCCCTCAGAAGAAGTCTCCTGTGTGCAGCTCTGCTGACACCACACCTCCTTTGCAGTTTCTCTGAGCTTCTGAAAGCAGGTCTGCACAGCAGCACCACAGATGCTGTGTGCTTTAAAGAAATGGGGAATGAATCAAGATGCCTCCCTCTCCAGTCCACACGGCACTGCTCTGTGCTGTCAGTCGCCAAGGACTCCAGCTGCTGCACCCAGTACAGCCTGTCTAGGAGGACCCTGCTTCTGGGCCCTGCCCTTGCACATTTCCCTGATGCTCATTTTGTTGTGGTCAGGAAAAATGCAAGGGCTGTTTGGAGTCTGGCTTGTCCCACGTGTGGTGGGGCTGTCACTGAGACCTGGTGCTAAGGTCATTTTTCCCATTTGTGTTCCTCTCAGATCGACTCATGGTGCAAAGAAAACAGCTATGTGATCGCCGGCTATTATCAAGCTAATGAACGTGTGAAGGATGCCAGGTACGGGTTGCACACCTGTGGATGGTGGGGTTGGAAGCCACGGAGCCATCCCTGGGGTGCTTTTGACACCCCCCACCGCCTCACTCCCGGCTTAAGTTTCAAAGCTTGTGTAAGCCCCCACTCGCTTTATCAGGTGTGTGGGCGACTGGCCAGATTAGTAGCTAGGAATTCATCCATGGCTCCTCTGTCATGCAGGGAGGGAACTTAAAGAGGGGGAGCAGCTGCCAACCCTGCTTGTGTCCACCAGCCTGTTGCCTCTCCAAAACAAGAGGCTGTGGAGTGGAAGGCAAAGTAGCTCTCTTGCGTAAGTAAAGTGGTTTGGGATTTGGAACTGTTAGAATGGGACCTTTGGTAAAACTGTGGTCTTTGGCGCCTTAATTGGCACCAAGTTCCTGCACCAAAGATGCCACCACCTCAGCTCTCATGAACAGGATAAGTTAACTGTCTGCTGTCTGCTTCAGACTGGGTCCCAAGAGCCTAGCAAAGGACACCTTCAGTCAGGGCAGCTTAAGGAACTCATGGACAGGCTACTCAAAAGGGGTGGGCCATAGATAGAACTCAGGACCTGTGTGCAGGGACCAAACAGGTGACAGCAGCCTCCATCCCTCAGCCCTCCAGGGCCATCGAGGAAGAGCTGGTAAAGAAGGCTACTTCCAGAGGAGCAACATCCTTTGGCCACAAGACATGGCCAGCAGCCAGCCTGATAGGGAAGGGAGGCCCAGATCAGTCAGTACTGATGTCCCTCTTCCATGCCCTCTGCTGTCCTCCAGAGGCTTCCTTTGGCTACAGCCAGCTAGAAGCCGGGGGCAGCTGGAAAATACCCACACAGTAAGTACTGGGGTTTTCTTGTGTGGTCGGATGGAGCCAACAGACCCCAGTGTGCTTCTCCGGTGTGGATGATGGGGTGGCCCATGGGCTCTTCTAGAAATAAAACAGTGAGTTGGAAAACCCTCACAACAGTCACTGATGAGGATTAGGAGTATCCAAGAAATGTGCCCATCTTATCCTTGGAGGCCTACATCCAGACAGGGATTCTTATTAAGTAAGTTGATGGCCAGCTAGATGCTGGGCTCATTGAGTACATCAGGGCACCTTTTGGGACCACCCAGAACTTTAGAAGCCCTGTACTCGGGTCCCATTTCTTCTGCCACCTCTTGTTCTCTGTGCCTTCTGGCCCTTATTCTGCCTCTGGGTGGGTGACAAGTACTGTCCAGCCTGTTACAAAAACTGCTCTGGAGAAGGCTGTGGATGCCACACAGCTAGCCCTGTGCAGAGCCAAGTGGGCCCTTCAGTTGACCTGTGAGGACCCTGAAGGAAAGCGGCTACAGCAGCTAAAGTTCAGACCTACCCAGCAGCATGGCTAGAGAAGCTTTGTCAACATGAGATACGAGTGTCATTCATTGGTCAAACTGGGATGGCATCAAATTGAAAGCTCACGGCATAGAGAAGATGTGAAATGACTTAGAGTCCTAAAAGTGGCTTGGTTTAAAAAGAGGATTTGGTTGCCAGGGCCCAGAACCTACTTGGGTAACAGGCATGTAGAGACTCAAGCTCATATAGTCCACAGCCCAGCGGGTCATCAGCCTGCCCTAGGCAGCACTCCATTAAGTCCCAGAAGAAGGAATAAGCCCCATCCTTTTAGGAGATGCCTTCAGGGTCCCCTCTCCAAGGCCCACTCTGGCAATGTGCCCCATGGTCCCAGTGGCATTCATAGCCCCCACGTCATCTCAGTGAGCCACTCAGTCAGTTGGCTCCATTGTTGCCTGTCAGTTCAGGTGTTAGTGAACTATACTGACAGAGGGCCTGTTTGATGACTCAGTTACAGTATGTATGGTAGAGCTCATGGGTCCTTCTCTACAGCCCAAACCAGGTGGCAGAGAAGGTGGCCTCCAGGATCGCTGAGGGCTTCAGTGACACTGCACTCATCATGGTGAGTCTCATTCCTGCTGCTGCTTAAGCTTCCCTCTTGTCCCAGCTCCGGGCCTTAAGTGTTCCATCACTATAGTGGGCTGGGTACTACTGCAGGCACAGCACTGCGGTGGCAAGGACCACTGAGAAAAGCCAGTGTATCCTGGGGAGTCGGGGAATAGCCTATGTAGTCTTAAGAGTGAGGACTGGGCGGTGGTGGTGCACACCTTTAATCCCAGCACTCAGGAGGCAGGTGGATCTCTGTGAGTCCGAGGCCAGCCTGGTATACAAGAGCTAGTTCCAGGACAGCTAGGACTGTTACACAGGGAAACCCTGTCTGGGGGAAGAGGAGGAGTCTAGTTGTTAGAAAGGTGGGGAAGTGCCTCACACTCACTCTGCAACACAGAGTTCTCTTGGTGTGAGCCTGTCTGTGCTGTTGGTGCTGCTTGCATAGGAGCCCAGGAAGGCATTGCTCTTCTCAGCCCCATCCTCATGCTTGTCACGACCTCATCTTCTCAGGTGGACAATGCCAAGTTCACGATGGACTGTGCAGCACCTACAATCCATGTCTACGAGCACCATGAGAACAGGTGGCGATGCAGAGACCCACACCAGTGAGTGCAGTGCCCTCCTGCAGGGCCTAGACTGTAGGGCTTCTATGAAAGATGGGGTCTGGGTGGTACTTGCTGGTCTCCACACGGACCCATGGCACCACACTCCTCCTGTGTTTGGTTTGATTTCTGATGACATGGATTCTTCAGCCATGTCCCTCTAGGTTCTTCAGTGCCCTGTTTGGAGGGGACCTGTCCATTAACAAGTGTCTTGGGTCCATCCTTACGTGTTTCCCAGCAGCTGCTCTGTCCTTAGCAGCCTGTGTGGTCTTGGGGTGGGTATGAGGCTGATTCTGCTGTCTGCCCTGCAGCGACTACTGTGAGGATTGGCCGGAGGCACAGAGGATCTTAGCATCGCTCCTGGACAGCCGCTCCTATGAAACACTTGTGGATTTTGATAACCACCTGGATGACATTCGGAACGACTGGACAAACCCTGAGATCAACAAAGCAGTTCTGCACCTGTGCTAGACGAGGGCCACCACAACTGGACACTGCACTACAGAGAAGAGAAAAACCTATTTTTAAATTTCGAGTAATAGTGGACTAAGTCTGTGGTGTGTGCCTTGGAAGGGGAGTCCAATTGGCATCCTTCAGGGCAGGGTTGTGGAGAGGTGTATGCCGCCTAGGCTTTGGGTTCTTTTTCTGTGCTGCCCAGTCCTGCCCATCAGAGCTCTTTCTGCTTGTCCCGGTTGTTCCCATTAAACAGTTCTAGCCTTTTATAATCTAGAAAGGGTGCATTTCCGTCTTTACTCTGGTGAGTGTGTAAGGCATCAGGCAGCCTCGTGGACTGTTGGAACATCATCGGATCAGCCAAGTTGGTGTCAAGGCTAGGAGCTGTGGGCTCCACAAAGCTGCACAGGGGAAAGAGTCAGCACCGTGGCCTGAGAAGCCTCACTGTACAGTGAACACAGCACATTGATAATGAGAACCGAGATGCCATGAGGAGAGGAAGCTGAGCCCTTGAACATTCCCAAAACCTGACTCAGCTGCTCTGGGTCTTCAGAGTGAGACCTGCTTTGTATTTAAAATAAACAAAAAACAAACATACAAAAAGAAAAAAAAAACCCTAGTGTTCAGTGTCTCTGGGATGTCCCAAGCAATGTGCTTGTTAACTTGGATCATTTGACCAAGTGTTCTGACCATCTTAGGAAATAGTAAGAAGACTTTTGGTGCATTGTATGTTGTCCTTTGAACTGTTTTACACAGAGAAATAGTGCCTTTCCTTAGGCTTCATGAGGCTGGTGGCAAGGGTTGGTGACAGCATTCTCCCCTTCATTCCAGCACCTCTTCTTGCCTTTAACTGTTTTGTTTTGCTCAAGATTTTGTTTGTTGGCTGGGGGAAGTGTTTAGTTTCGGTGACTAAGAATATACCTTTGCCGTCCTAATTGACTTGGTGTTGGCTATCATGTGGAGGAGCCTGGCCTTGAACGTGCAGTGATCCCTCTGCCTTTGCTTCTCAGTTACTGTGATCAGCACCCCTCCCGGCTCTCCTTAACCTTTCAAACTGACCTTGTCAGTTCCTGAACTAAGGAAGGTTGAGACACCAGTCCCCATCCTTCCTCATTCTCATACAGAGGGCTTTGCAGGCTCCTCTGTATCTGAGGACAGCCGTTGGCATGTGCTCTCCCCTCCAACCCCTGCCTTATTTTTGAGATGGGAGTTTTTGTGCTAGAGCCGGAGTTGGGCAGCAGCTCACAGTTCTTTTGTCCAAGCCAGATATGGTGCCCGTGCCTGTGTCCTAGCACAGAAGGGGAGGATCTCAAGTTTGAGTCCAATTCTTTGTAATGAGTTTCGGGCCAACTGTAGAGTGAGAACACGTTCTGAAAACGAAATCTGAGCGCGGCAGGTCACTTGTGTACCTTGTCTTCAGGGACAACTCCCTTAGAGCTGCAGCTGGCAAACAGTTCTATATAACTCGCACGTCAAAGAACAGGAACCTGAGGCAGGAGCTGAAGCAGAAGCCATGGAGGAACTTACTAGGCTCATTCTCTGAGGTTTGTTGAGCCTGCTTTCTTACATGATTCAGACCATATGCCTGAGAGTAACACCACTCAGTGGGCCCTTCTACGTCAATCATTAATCAAGAAAATAACCCACAGACTTGTCTACAATCTAATGGTAGCAATTCTTTAATTGAGGAAGGAGGTGACTAGACTATATCAAGTTGACAAAACTAACCTGCAAAGTATTTGTCAGGATTCTCTAGAGAAACAGTTGATGGGAGTGTTTCTTATTCTATAAAATATATTTATGTAAAATGGGATTTATTAGAGTCACAGGTAATGATCCAACTATTCCAGCAATATCTGGCAACCAGTGGATAATTCAAGAATCCAGAGTTCAGTCCACAAGACTGGATGTCTCAGCTGGTCTTCAGTATACACTGAAATCACAAAGAGGCTCTAATGCCATTGAAAGAATGGACTTGCCAGTGTGGGCAAGAGTAAGCAGGCAACAAACAAAAGCTTCCTTCCACGTTCTTTATATAGGCTGCCACCAGAAGGTGTGGCCCAGATTTAAGGTAGATCTTACTACCTTAAATAATAAATCTAGGAAAATCCTCACAGAATGTACCCAGGAGCTTGGGGTTCAATTAATTCCAGATGTAATCAAGTTGATGACCAAGAATAGCCATCACAAGCAGACAATTGTCCCTTGTCAACTTGACATATAAACAGCACTATTGAACCAATAACCTTTCTGTTCTTGTTTATCCCCAAGTTGCTTTGGTCAGTTGTAACGCAGCAATGGAAACTAAGCTAAGACACCATTAACAAGTATAGTAAAAACTATCAATATAAAATTTTCTTAAACATTCCAGAAAACTAGAAAGGATTTTGAAGGTCTTACCGTAAGGCAATGATGAAAAGGTAGGCCTATATCAGTTTAAATTTTTTTTTAATGAGTTTTCCCCTTAATTTTGTTTGTTGGTTTTTCTGAGACAGGGTTTCACTGTGTAGACCAGGCTGACCTCGTCCTAAAGATCCACCAGCCTCTTCCTCCTGGGTCTTAAAGGAATTTTTCACTTCTACAATTGCCTTTAAGGATTAAGGATACTGGTAGGCAGTGGTGGAACATACTTTTATTACCAGCACTGGAAAAGCAAAGGCAGGTGGATCTATGTGAGTTTAAAGACCAGCCTGGTTTAAAAGTGAGATCCAAAACAGCCAAGGCTACAAAGAGAAACCCTGTCGTTGTGCCCCCCCCCCCCCAAAAAAAATGCTGGGCAGTGGTGGCGCACGCCTTTAATCCCAGCAGAGACAGGCAGATCTCTGTGAGTTCAAGGCCAGCCTGGTCTACCAGAGCTAGTTCCAGGACAGGCACCAAAGCTACACAGAGAAACCCTGTCTTGAAAAGAAAAAAAAAACTTAAGACCAGGTGTGGTCCTTGTTTTTAATTTCGGCACTCTGGAGGCAGAGACGGGCAGATGTCTAAGAGTTCTAGGCCAGCTTGATACATAGATGCAAGACAGCCAGAGCTATGTAGAGAGACCCTGTCTCCAAAATAAAAAAGTTAAGGATACTATCCAGGCATGGTGGCATACACGCATAGTCCTGACACTCAGGCTGAGAAAATTGCCACAAGTTGAGGCCAGCCTGATCTATATTGTGAATTCCAAGACAACCTGAATCTAGAATGAAGACTCCAAAAAAAAAATAATAATAATAATACTAAAGGATGCTAATATGGAAAAACAGACAACAGCCTCATCGGAAACTGCAGCTGAGGAAAAGCTGACCGCTAATTTAGGGGTGTGGGAGTGTTTGCCTAAACAATGTGTGTCCAGTGCCCATGCAATAGAAAGCAGTTTGAAAATCCTGGGGAAGTCTGTAAGGCCAGCAAAATGGCTTAGCAGATAAACGCACCCTTCAAGCATGGCAGTCTGTATTCTGTGCCTGGGACCCACATGTTAGAAAGAGATAGGTTGTCCTCTGACCTCCACACGTGCACATAACTGATAAATAAATGTTATTTTTAAAGCCTTTGTGTAATTGGCATCATTTATTCTAGGAGCTTGTTTTTCTGATGTCTGGAGGAACTTATTTCCGTATGATACTTCCCACTTCGTGCCTACTTCTGTTGCCTGCCTTTCTGAAACGCCTACTTTGGGCAGGATCTGTATCTCAGCTTTGGCAGAAAGCTCAGTGGAGTGCTGCCCTGCCAGCTCACAGATGAGAGCATGGAAGGGGTGTGTGTGTGTGTGTGTTGTGCATAATTGGTGCTAGAGATTGAACCTGGGGCCTCATACCATGCTCATTGAGCTTCCTACCCCGTGAGCTAAATCCCCAGCCCTGTAAATACTTCATCTTCAAATTGGCTTGCAACTTCTCGTATGCCTGTGATATCCTCAATGGGACCGCTGTCATTCCTTCAAAGCTGTTTCTGTAAGCCTCCATCCCCGAAGACTAGCTGCCTGAAGAACCACTCCTTGCAGGTTCCTGAAAGGCTGCAGTCTGAAGGGCTCACTGTGGAATCAGATCTGGAGCAGTGGCAGAATGGCCAGGGATCCAGGGATCGATCGACTTCTCTGTTGCCTCTGCTTTCCAAGCAGGCAACACTAACACAGCTGAGACCTGACCCGTACTGGAGGTGAGCCTTGCCTCAAACTGTTGCAAAGTGGAATAGCATGCTGTGTTGAGTGCTGGCTGCGAAAATTCCAGATACCTTCATAAGTCTAATGAATTAAACTTCCAAATACCTGTGACATCCATGGGCAAAGCCCCCATCCATCAGGAGGAACTAGGAGTGGGGAGTCAACTGTTCAGCCTCAGGATCATCCACACCTCCAGGTTCTCTGTCACCTCCCCCTGGGAGGGAACTGGGTATTTGTGAATTGGATGCATTCTTGAATACTCTCTGGACTTCCCGCAGGCTTCGCCTCTTTGGGTGATGGCTTAGAGCCTGGCAGATAGTGCCAACAGCCCTATAGTGCTCTGGATAGTCCAGAATGGGTTAGGTGAATCCCATTTGCCACATGACTCTGTGGCCCTGAGCATTTTACTGCCGACAGCCCTCTGATAACATCCACCTAGAGGGCCATGCGCAGTGGAGAGAATATGCTCACGCTGGGATATATTCAGGTGGCGTTGAGAAAGCTTTTAGCTGTTAAGTGTTTTAACATCTAGAATGTGTCACTGGTCAGATGCATCCAAGGGCACCACCTGGCCATAGACAGCAGTCAGTACTGAAAGGGTCAGAGGATAAAATATTCAAAAGCTGGCACAACTTTCACATTGTCCCACTGTTTCTATCAGCTGCTCCTTCAGCTAGTGTCGGTTTTGTCTCCATCTACAGACGCGGACATCAAAGCCTGCTCAGCCTGCAAAAATGACTTAGGTTCGCACAACAGTAAGTGATGGGTGGAGGAGGGGGTTTGAGCTGGCCGTGCCTCTACCGGAGACAGTCAGTAGCTCAGTGCTGGCTTGGCATGCGTGAGACTCGGGTTCAATACCCTGTGCTGCAGAAAACCCTCTCTCCGCACTCGGTTCCCTTCCCGCCCCGGCCCAGTCCGAGTACCTTTATTACAGAGCCAACAGGAAATGAGGAACGGACAGGCACTCTTCTGCCCTCCCCTTCACTAGTGACTTAACAGTGGTCAGAGCTGCAGCAGCCTTGCTGGCCCAGAGGTGGGGAGCAAGGTGCCCGCCTGTGTTTGGGCCCCTGCAGGGAACGAGAGGTGTAGTGGGTAACAGTCTCTGCTCCAGCCCAGGGGATGGAAACCTAAGGAGACTGGGGCCCAAAGCCAGTGTTTGCAGCCAACAGAGCCACAGTTGGTTTTGTTTGGTTCATTGTCTCCTGTGTAGTGCAGAACGACTCAGCCCTCCTGCCTCTACTTCCCAAATACAGGCATGCCTGGCTGGCACCTGATGTGCAGCCAGGACTGAGGTATTTTTTTATCTAAATATCAAAGTAAATAATACAGCTTCTAAGCCAGGTGTGGTGGCCCATACCTAGCACTTGGGAGGAAGAGAAAGGAGTATTGTGGGGTGGGAGTTAGCCTCGCAACATAGTGAATTTGAGGCCAACATGGACTCAATTACAAAAAACACACAAAGGGGAAAAGTACTACTTCTAGGTA